TATTTATCTTTAAGTTATTTAATTTATCGTATATACTTCTTTTTAATTATTTCGCCGTTATTTTGCATTTGTTTGTTTGTTGTATATTTAGTGTGATTTTGATTTTACCTCACCATAAATATTGTCAAATAGAGAGATGGTTATGTTGCTCACTAAATAAAAAAAAAAACACATCATACGTTTATTGATTTTTTCAACTCTTGAAATAAACTGCAAAGAAAATAATTCAACTTTAGTTATTTTTTCATAATCAAGGAGTTACAAAAATATGAGACAAACAAACTAGCTACAACAACTTTAATCTTAAATTCATTTTAAGTAAAACCATGCCGAGTACGGTAACAAAACAGTGGTTCCTTACAACTCCGACAGCATACTGTCATGACAGTGCGTTGATATAATTGATTTGGTTATATTTTATCTGTATTTTTATTATCTGTCCTATGTAGTAATCATTTTTATACCTGTAAAAAGTTTCATTATAATCATTAACATGTAAATGATTGAGGAATTTTGAAACAGTGATGTTTTATTTCTTAAACTTGGTAATGGTAATTAGAAATTTGAATTTAGCTACTATGATCCTTATGCAAGCAACACATGCTCCCATACAATCAATGTAAGGACGTAAACCAAATCATCAATTACTGTGCAAGATTAATTGATCAAGGCCATTCAGATGTAAATGGTCAGAGATAAAGGGGGCCTTGGGGGATGTGTTACAGATGCAACCTCTATTTATACGTTGCTAACATGTCTTACATATTCAACAATATTTTGTTATTTTTTTAAAGTTGTAAAAAAATAATTAAAATTCTTATAATTTATGAAAGTTTTTTAAAAATGAAATGATTATTACTTTCACTTACGTATATATGTAATATATAGTAAGTGTAAGTATTGCGATCAAGAAAATTTTTGAATCTGAGTTTTCGACAGATTTATACGTTTTGAGGTACCCTGAGTCGAAATGACCAAGTCCTGAAAAATGGTCTGTGTGTCTGTGTGTTTGTACAATTTAGATTAAACTCGGTGTATCATTGTATAATTAAGTGGTCTTTAATATCAATTAGGTCTTATCCCCATTGATGTTACTTTACAGGGCTTAAATGCCCAATGTTCATATACGTCTTCCTCTAAAGTATCTTTAATATGATTTATTTTAAAAAGTTAATTATTTCGCACTATTCAGAATTACGAAAAAATGCTAAATATAACTTTTGAAAGAATTTGATAAGTTAATAAAGGAGAAAAAAAAATGCAGATAAACGTAGCTATAGATTGTAGCGCCTAAACGAATGTACCGATTTCATTGAAACTTCGCTAAAGTCATTTTCTCGACACCCTTCAAATTTATCTATATAACATACTTAAGCGAAAAGAAGCTGGAAAAAAAGTTACGAGGGATGGTAACATTAAATTCCGAATAACCCAAAAAGTATACACTTTTTTGGGAATGATGTGTTAAGATGTTTCAAAGGTATTTAAATTGCCTAAAAAACAAAAGAAGTTTCATCGAAATCGAAGCACTATTAGTAGACTTTAAAATATTTTTACATTCACTTACGTATATATGTAATATATATTAAGTGTAAGTATTGCGATCGTATTTAAGATAGGTATATGCCTTAGTTCTGACGGCAAATCGTTGTATATGGTTTTCTAAAAGTTTATGGAATAGCCTAAAAAACAAAAAAAAATCGTTAAAATCGGCCAATTAGGAGATATGGTTATATCCTTTGTTTCGGATTTTGAATTTTGAATGTGTTAATAAGGTAATGCTAATTTGTTTAGCATATTACTAATGATTATAAAGAAAAGTATAGTCCATTAATTGGAATCACCCTTTATTTATTTTTCTTTGTAACTTGGAAGGTAATGTTACTTTAGATGTTTAATTGTTTGCAAATAATATACCATTGTGAAATAATTAGCAAAAAATATTTAGCGAAACAATGCTTAATATACCTTTTGAAAGAATCTGATAATAGAATAAAGGAAAAAAAATATAAATGCTTATACAGTTCGAAAATAAATCTCTGGAAATACAAGTCAGAAGTATACTTATAATATATCGTTGGAAAGCGGAGAATTTTTGAAAAACAATATGTAATATAGGAAGTTGTAGAAGGTAACGGAGAGCGGCAAAAAACTTATAAGTAACAATTTTTGAAAACTGATAATATTGAACGTAAATCACATGCTTTCAAAGAAATTAAATGAAATTTACTGGCAAAATGTATACTTTAAAAAATATTTTTACATCTCTAGAAAGTATTTAAAATCCACCTAAGCAAGTTAATGGCATTGCTAAAAAACTATTTCATTGTACTTGTGTGAAAGAAGAAATAAAATATAAAATCATTTTATGGATGTATAAATCATGTGTTTATAATATTAAATACATTTACTGTAGTTTAGTGATTATTTATTTAATTTTAAATTGGTCCACAATCGTCTTATCTTTTTGGCTACATTCAAGGAATTGCTATGTTATATATGTGTGCGATGTTGTATTGCGTTCCTGGCGTTTGAGAATTTAAAGAGAAAAAAGGAATTTTTTATTTTTATTTGGGAAAGTGTTTATTATGCTATGTCTATTGTTTAATATGGTTTATTGTTGATAATTTGTAAGGGTATTGTTATGAAAGGGGAGAAAAAAAAGAAGAGAAATATAATATAAAATTAATGTCCGTATGGATTGATAGGTATGCTGTGTACGAAGCAACCCTATGTAGTAGGGCAGCATTAATTTTAATAAAGCATTTCTCTCTAAATAATTAAGTATTAAAGTTTATTCCAAAATATTGTCATATAACTTTTTAGAAAACTAAATTAGTGAATAATTCAATAGATCTTCCCTTTGTGATATTCCACTACTATTTCATTGTACTTGTGTGAAAAAAGAAGTGAAATACAAAAATATATCATAGATACGTTTATAACCCTAAATATATTTACTGTAGTTTAATAACTCTAGATCTCATAATGTATTTAAATATTTAGATATCTATCGTCCGTTTATTCCGAAAAATCATCATGTAACCGTTTAGAAAATTAAATTAGTGAATAGTTTGATAATTTTTCTTTTTGCGATATTCCAACAGAATCCATTTACAATTAATGTGACAGCTTTTGACCTGTCTATGACAGACACTGCAAATCTCTTAATTCCTTTTTAATAAACTTTGCAATGGAAAATAACAGTTTAATGACTTATAGTCGTACAATCCATAATCAATGGATCGAACAATCAATAATCAACGAATCGTACAATCCATAATCAACCGGTGATATAATAAATAGGACTTTTGTAATTTTAATAGCATTTGTGATTTGTTAGCTTTAGCTCAGTTTAAAATGCAATTTAAAACATTTTATAATAGCCTAACATGGCCAGAAAATAATTTTTATTCAAAGTTCAAAGAGTAAGTGAAAGTTGTGTGTTGCGCGCGTCAGATTTTTTTTAGTATGTTGCTTAAACATAGGATTTAGTTTTATTGCTTAAATACATTATATATTTTTGTAAGTAGTAAAAATATTTTCAGAGAAAAATATTGTTAATCGATTTCTAGTCTTGGAAATGAATTTATTATTGACGTAGTCGTAAACCAATGATTTGCTGTCCTACAGTATCATTCAATAACATCCCACTTAACCCTGTAGAACAAATCCGATACCTAGGACTCCACCTGGACAAACGTCTCACTTGGAATCCTCATACAAGACTAAAACGACAAGAAACTGCTCCACGTTTCCGCTTATTCTAACACTTACTGGACAAACGCTCTAAACTTGCAATTAATTACAAACGACTCATATACATGACTATAACCAGACCTATTTGGCCTTACGGAGTTGAGCTATGGGGCTCCACTAAACCATCAAATTCCTCTAGTATCCAATCTTTACAATCCGAAATCCTTCGTAAAATCCTCAATGCTCCTTGCTTTGTCACAAATAAAATAATTCATAGAAACCTTAATGTCCCATATATTCCCGACTTGGCCCATTCCAGATACTTATCCTTCCATAATAAACTTCATAACCATCCGAATCTTGTTGTTTCTAACCTTGCTCCCTCATCGATTCCTGATAACCCTCCGAGGCGTCTGAAAAGAAGATGGCCTCGTGATCTCCTCATATTTATATTATTAGAGTACAACCAATGGGTAGTTTCTCAACAAGCGTTTTTATGTGATTATATTCCTCTGTACACAGTTACTTGATGTATTTATACTAGTACAATTGTATTTACCTTTAATTTACTAAAGGAGATTCAGATGAACCAATAACCTCATTGTAGCCCAAAATAATGGTTACAACCTTTTCAAACCAATTTAGCGATATTTAAAGAAAACGTTATGGTATGAAGATAGAGCTTTTATTTTAGTGCGAGTTAATTTGAATTGTTTAAAAATTTAACATTAATAACCTATATTAATTTTTATATTCATATTCTACATTTAAAATTTCAGTTGTTGACATATATTGACTAGATCGTCTGATTGAGGTATTCATAAACATAAAATATTTATAAATCAAACTCCAAATATAATGGAATAATAAAATTAATTAAAATAAACTCCAGGTGAATATGGTATTTTTAAAACTATAAATATACTAAACTGTTGATACTTATTGATTCTTCACATATTTTTATTCCAAATGACTTTGTACCTTTAATCTTTATTGGAATCCGAATGATTTATTTTCTCCGCTATGTAGTGCGTTAATAATTGATTTGACGAATTTATATAAATCAAAGTTTGTTGATAAAGTTTATTTAGTTATACAATAAATTAATAAATTAGAAAAATCTGAAATAATCAACATTAGTTGAACTTGTTTTCTAGAATTTGTGGTATTTTTAATAAAATATTTTTAATATAATAGTTATTAAAATTTCTTTCCTACGTTCAAAATGCAGAAGCCTAAATGGAGTGGCTTGCAAATTTAAAATTATTAAATATACTTGAATTTAAATAAGAATGACTTACTTGTAGTGAATGAATGGTCCCACCAATCGGTTTTGCACAGATATGCCTTCAGATCGTCTGCAGTTCTTCCAACGATGACAAGAGGAGGTGCTACAATGGTACGAATGAGGAGGAGAACTGTGAATGTTGTTACAATCATACCGAGACGCTTCAAGAGATCCAAATCAGTTATTTTCACAGCTTTGGCAGATTTCACTCTGAAGATGACAGAAATCCTGCAAGAAAATAAGTATGTAGTAGAAATTTAACAATAAATACTATGAAAAGAAAAAAGGAGAGCTATATCCATATGCTTAGTTCTGTCATATATATATTGTTACAAGGAAATATATACAGATTTCAACGGAAAAATTATTTTTTCAAAAACTATATTAGAAAATAATATGTATATCTATGTCCCCATTTTGCCTTGACACAGGCATTTAATCTCCTTGACCAGTCATCAATAGCAGCATGCAGCACTTCTTGAGGAAAGCTCTCAACTACTCGAACCAGAGATTGTTTGATGCTTTCCAAGTTAGGGTATGCTTTGTGGCATGCCATCCTCTCCTGTTCCGACCAAAGCCGATAATCTAGTGGGTTGAGATCAGGGCTTCCTGAGAGCCAATACGACTCAGAGATGAACTCTGGAATGTTCTTTTGCAGCCACTGCTGAATTGACCTGACCTTGTGAGCTGGAAAACTCAATGACTTCCAGAACAGAGTATCATTTAGAGGCTTGACAACAGGTTCCAGAATATCGTCCTGATAGTTTTTAGTTGCTCTTTAACTCATTTTTCACAAAAATGGAGCTTTGTGGTGCCATCAAAGCAAACTCCTCACATCTCTTATTTAGGATTATCTAAATAATAAGCAAGGATGTAAACAAAGTTCAACTTTTGTAACAGTACTTATGGCAGAGTATATAGCAGCCATAAAAAAAACTTCAAGAGGACCCAAAGAATCTGTGACTTGGTGGATGCTAATAAGTCGAATTTGAATGCCGAAAAGGCCAAGGCAATTTTGATATGCTCCAATCACCTCCTTAAAACTGTTCATAAACTATAAACCCTGTTCTTAAACGATAATCCCATCAAATTCTATCACACCATTAAGAACCTTCGTATAAGCTTTGATCAAACTCTTTTCTGGAAAAAAATATGTATCCGATATTTCTCGTCGTGTAATAACAGAATATGGATAGTAAAATAATGAAGGCATTTAAAATAGTCAGTAAGCAATGTTGATGCTGAGAAAGTATAGAGAAGAGGTTTGAAAATATAGTTTTAATTTAAATTTAATATTGTAAATGTTACTGACGCGTATTTTATACATATAGGATGTTCATGAAATATTTCTCATATTTTTTTGGAAAGGAGATAAATGAATGGATGTTGAACAGTTTAATATTCACATCACGATGGGACTCTCTTAAATATTTCCGTTATACATCTCCAAATAAGAGATTAAACCTAAAAAATATAATCTAGCAAATCGTTTATCTTTTACGTAATTTGCCAACGCCTTGGTATGATTAGGACGCTAACGTCTTAAATAACGGTTTGGAAAGGTGTTGAAGGCTGTCAAAATATTTGATTGATAGGCTTCTACGTGATAAATTGGCGTTTTGGAAATGGTCTTTAAAGAGCTTCTAAGTCAGGTGAAGGGAAGGGGTACAGTTAGAACTCGGATTCTCCCCCCTTCCTGATTTCCCCCTTTCGGCTTAAAAAAACAACAACAGGTATATTATTATTTTCTTTATTATTAAATCAGAAGTGGTAAGAATAATTTCTCGATCTGATTAAAATGGACGAAACTGATAAGAACAAGGATTTCTTCAAATCAGTGACGATAGATCTGAGAAACTGAGAATTCAATGAGGGGAGCTATTTACAACTTCAGGTATTTCGTTTCGGGGATTCTCTGCTCTACACTCCAGCATCTACAAATTATACAATTAATATATTATAGGCTCTATCATCAACCAGTCATTTTTTTATTTTTATTGTTACATTCGGCATCTACTCGAGCGGGTCATTAGAAGCTTTAGATGGAATTAAATTAGGTGCACAAATTTAATGTGTTTTTTTTAATTCAAATACTTTTTGTATCTTCTCTTCGTCATCTGAAAGTGCGCCAGATATGTAGGAAGGGATATTATATTTTGTTCTGGTGCCAAAGTATAGTCTGCAAGTTGTTACAATGTGTTTCTGTGTACGTGATGTGTTGCATGTTTTACAAAATGTTGGTTCAAGGCCTCTCATTAGGTAGCAATGGGTAAAGGCTGCATGGCCAATTCTAAACCGAGTTAACATTATTTCCTATTTTCTGTTATTTCTGAAAGAGATCATCCATGGTTGGATATCTTTTTTAATTTCTTGCAATTTATTTGTAGATTGGTTCCACTTAAATTGCTATTATCACAAGTCTTGAAAAATGGTGTCAAAACTGGAGGATTAAAATAAACTCCAATAAATCCCATCAAATTACCTTTACTTTTCGCCGTAAACCTATTACTTTCTGTCCTACAGTATCCTTTAACAATAACCCATTTCTCCCTGTTGATCAAATCAGATACCTAGGACTCCACCTTGACAAACGAATTACTTAGAACCCCCATACCAGACTGAAACGACTAGAAACCTCCAGACGTTTCCGACTACTCCAGCACTTACTACACAAACGCTCTAAATTGCCAACCATTTACAAAAGACTCATATATATTACTATAATAAGGCCTATTTGGACTTGAGTTGAGCTTTGGGGCTCTACTAAACCATCAAATTCCTCTCGTATCCAATCCCTACAATCCAAAATCCTTTGTGAAATCCTTATGCTCCCTACTTTGTAACAAATAAAATCATCCATAATGACCTTAATGTACCATATGTTTCCGATTTAGCTCAATCCAGATACCTGTCCTTTCATAATAAACTTCTGAACCATCCGAACCCTCTCGTTTCCAACCTTGCTTCCTCTTCTTTTCCTGATAACCCTCCGAGGCGCCTGAAAAGAAGATGGCCTCGGGACCTTCCAATATAGAAATATAATTGGAGTGCTACCAATGGGTAGTTTCTCTTCATGTTGTACATGTCATATTACTTGTTCATATTTACTTGTGGTATTGATTATTAATTGCAGTTGTAAATTTCGTTAATAAAAAAAAAAATTGCTATTATTCATTTAGCATTCAAATCTCCAGTCAGCAGTGGTCGTTAAATGATCATTGTGGTTCCATTTGTTTTTCTTGTTGCGAGGTTCACTGCTCTGTCTGCAGCTTCGTTTCCAGATATGCCACAATGTGAGGGAGCACATGAGAGGTTTATGTATTGCGACTCCTTCATTTCCCAGAGGCAGTTTTGGATTTCTGAAAAAGGCACTGTCGGAGTTCCCTTCGGCAATGGCCATTAATGAGCTTAAAGAGTCTCTAACTATAAGGCCATTTTTTATTTATTTTTTCTGTTAGTAATAACAAGGCCTGGTATATGGTGAATAGTTGCCTGTGAAGGCGCTGTTTATTTTGGGCAAATTGAATTTGAGGCACTGGTCTTTCAGTATCACTGCACATCCTACGTCACTATCTGTTTTTGATGCATCCACTCATTTTTAATGTTCAAAAGGTAATACCATTTCAAAACATTTTGTGGCTAACTTGATATAAATTATTTCATATACACTTGTTAAAATAATAATATATATATTAAATATTCTGACCGAAAATTAGATAAGTCACAAGCTGATAATAAGTGGTGTCGAGAGTGGCGGAGGAGAGGGGATTCAAACACTAAATTTGTTATTTTGTTATTTTACTATATAAATAAAAGGCTTTATTTTTCACCATATTTATTTTTATTTCTCCTCCACAGTGGCTACTTTCCGGATATGATGCCATTTTCAAACCATCTATAAGACCCATACACAATCAGTTCATAAAAAAACATAATATACATAACATTCATAAAATACAGCCTTTATTTACATTGTAAATTATAATTTCACCTAAAATATAAACATATATGAATTTATTATTTTATAACCAGACTCCGTATATTATTAATAAAAAATAATTAAAAACTAAGGGTGATTATTATTTATTATATTGACCTACAGACAAATAATAATTAAAAGATAATTTAGTAAAATGGTCAAAACTGAAAATCGGGAAATATTTCTTATTACAAAAAATATTTTTATAAATTTTACTTTTTCTGTTGGCATTACAGAACATGCAGATATTTTGCTGCTTTGACCAGAATGCTTCATCTCTGCTTATCTAGGGATATTTCATTCCAGTTATCTGCATGGAGCTCTTTTACATTTTTGTCGATTCGATCTATGCATCTCATTTTTGTCCTTTCGTTATTGAAATGTTTCAATTTAAAAAACAGCGTTTTCTCTCTCTATTTTGAGTTTTATTGAAAAAGAAAAGTAAGTAAAGTTTAAAATGTTACAAATTTTTACGGTAAATCTATAAACCTTAAAAAAAGTTGGAATTACCCAAGCTTCCACTGCTTAAAACCAGGGTTTCAAATCAATAATTAAAAAAATCAAAATCGAATCTAATCAAATCATTTGATGAATTTTATTAAGAGTGATTTTTATTCTTTATCATACGAGATAAAATGTGGGTCGGATCATGAATTAGTAATCGCGAAACGTCCGAGGGGTAGACCGAAGCGAAGGTGGGAAGATTGCATTAAAGCCGATCTGAAGGGACTGGGTTTGGACGGCGAACGGTGGAGGGAGGTGTGTAACAAGCGATTGGTGGTGTTGGCATCGAACCTTCGGGTTCGCTAAGCCTTATTATTATTATTATTATTATTATTATTATTATTATTATTATTATTATTATTATCATACGAGATAAAAAATACATCTTGATCATTATTTTTTAACTAAATAGTTTACAATTAACGATAACAATAATAATTCTTAAGTAATACTTTTTTAAATCGGAAATATATATTTTTTCTAATCTATATGATATATTTTGAATCTAGAGTAGTAGGTGGAGAATATTGTCACCTATTAGCAACAAAACATTTTTATTTCCAAAATTTATTAGACATTTTGGCCTACAAAAAAAAAAAGAAAAATAATATATATATATATATATATATATATATATATATATATATATATATATATATTATATATATATATATATATATATATATATATATATATTTATATATATATGTACAAAATTTCTTCAATCGACCTTTGAGTATTATATTTTGGGATTATTCAATTATTCAATTTCGGAATTAGGTCACTTAATTATTATTCAATAAACTACAAAATGTTCATTGCTCCTGTTGTATATTAGAAGTAGCTTAATATCTGTGATAGTCGACAGTGCTGAGGTTGTCGGTGTGTCCCTGGCCTGAGGTATCGAAGCTCTATTTTTAAAACATTGAAGAGGATCCCATTGGTAGCATAAAAAAAATGTGATCGAAACGTGGAATAAACAACATGAACATTTCGTAGTTTATTTAATTATAATTAAGTGATCTAATTCCCCTCTCGGTGGAACCTGTCCACTAGGGAGCGCGTCCCCCGGGTGGCGGATAGGGGAACCCTCTTAGGAGGGTCGGTCTGAATATACAGAACAAAGACCCGTGGACCAACAGGTACCCAGTGCTGGGGGGTATAGCCTGGCCACCCTTCCTCCTGAGGGGATATAAATATTCAGGAGGCCAGTTGTCCCGAGGATACGGGACCTCCAGCACTGGGCTAATCACCCGTCTGGAGAATCAACGATTCAAAGCAATTCAACTAGCCTCGGATGTGGACTGTCTTCAAGGAAACGACCTGGCGCACTAAGGGATATACGAATTGGAACGTGGAACATAAAAACTTTAACTGGGAAGGAGGTTGAGCTGGTGGAGGAAATGAGGATCTACAAAGTAGAAATCCTCGGCATAAGTGAAGTGAAGAAAAAGGGCAGAGGAAAATGAAATTGGCTAATAATTACTCCCTAATTTATGCTGGAGTACCTAGAGGGGTTTTCGCCAAAGAGGGAGTGGATCTAGTAATGTCGCCTTATATGTATGATCATTTAGAGGACTGGGAGCCGATATCTCTAAGAATGATTGTAGCAGATTTTAAGATGACCATAGGTAAGATTTCCATAATCCAGGTGTATGCACCAACGGAAGATGCTAGTGTTGCAGACAAGGAGGCATTCTACTCGGATTTGCAAAAAATAGTGGATAAAGCTAAAGGAAATGGAAGGTCAGTAATCCTGAGTGGAGACTTCAATGCCAGAACAGGAAATGATGAAATACTAATGGACAACGGCTAATAGACTTTTGCGTACATAATGACTTCCTCATAGGAAATTCTTTCTATCCACACAAGAGAATCCACAAAATCACTTTCTCATGCATGGAACGAAATAGTATAATTGACTATTTCATATATGATAGGAACATAAGGCAGTATTTCGCTGACATAAAAGTAGTAAGAGGAGCGGAGATAAGCAGCGACCACCTTTCACTTGTGGCTGATACAAAGATCATCTCGGAGTATAAAAGGAAAACAAAAGTATTCGAAACCCTCAACGTAAGAGCCTTGGATGACCCAGAGAAAAGGGCCCTCTTTACAGAAAGCCTGGAAAATAAATTAAGGGAAACGTCATTCGATGGAGATGTGGAAGGCACTGAAAATATGTATTCTGGAAACAGCAAATACAGTTTGTGGGAAGAAGAGAGTGTCTGGTAAGGGAAAGCGGACAGACTGGTGGACCAATGATCTCCAACGACTGGTTTCTCGGAAGAAGCTTGCCTGGAAAGCATACCTTATGGATAGAACTGAAGGAAAGCTACACTTATATCGAATAGCCAGGAATGAATGTAAGGTAGCCATACGCCAGGCGAAGAAGAAGTCGTGGGAGGAGTTTGGTAAAAGGCTGAGCGAGGATCATCGCGAATCTATAAGAACATTTTGGCGAAAAGTTAAGATGTTGAGAGGAAAACAATGTAAGCCTATTAGAAATGTAAAAGGTAGCGATGGAATCCTACTTACAGACAAGGAAAAGATCCTTGGCAGATGGAAGGAATATTTCCAGGAACAATTCTCCGGAAATCCAGAAACAGACCATTATCAAGAACAAGAGCCCAATATTCAAGAAAGCCTGGAGGTTATAGAGGAAGAAGAAATAGAAAATGCAATCCATAAGCTAAAAAGAGGTAAGGCATCAGGAAGGGATGGAATCGCATCAGAATATTTAAAATTCGGTGGTCAAGAACTTCTTAAAGCACTACAATCGCTGTTGCAAGAAATAGATGAAAGAAAGAAAATTCCCATGGACTGGGAATATTGCATAATCCTCCCGATTTATAAAAAAGGATGCACGACAGATTGCAAAAATTATAGACCCATTAGTCTGCTATCAGTGGTCTATAAACTTTATACTTCTATACTAGAAAGGAGACTCCGACGGACTGTGGAAGGGCAGTTAGAAGCGGAACAGGCTGGTTTTCGTCCAGGCCGACGGACGCAGGATCACATCTTTGTTCTCAGAAATATTGCTGAAAAAGCTTGGGACAGAGATAAAAATCTGTATCTTGTGTTCCTTGATCTGAAGTCAGCGTTTGATGTGGTTCCAAGAAAAGAAATTTGGAATGCCCTAATGGCCAAGGGTGTACCTGGAGACTTGCTGGCGGCCATACAGTCAGCCTATCAAGGAGCTATGGCAGTGGTAAGGATGAACGGTATGGAATCGGAACCTTTTCCAATTGCGAGAGGAGTTAGACAGGGAGATAACTTAAATCCCCTTCTATTTATAAATGTAATGGATGAAATCCACAAAATCTGTAAACGCCGAACTGCGTGGACAACAATTGGGAAGTGGAATTTGAGAACTGTCTTCATACAAAGCCTTCTATACGCGGATGACATAGCCCTAATAGCCGACACGAAGACCAAACTACAACAAGCTCTGGTAGAGTGGGAAGAAGAGTTGCTCAGGAAAGGGATGCAAATTAACACCTCCAAGATGTCCAGCTGATCTGCAATGGCGAGACACTTGAGGTGGTGACTAAATATACCTACCTGGGGATCGTAATTAGTAGTTCTGGTAAGATAGACGCCGCAATATCAAGTAGAATATGTAAGGCGAATCAGGTGTATTACCAGACTACTAATAGCATTATCGGCCATCGCGAAGTAGACAAGAAGACCAAAATGCACGTATATAAGTCTGTTTACCTACCTATACTCACCTACGGCGGAGAAAGCTGGACAATACTAGACAGGCACTCTAGTCGCATAACGGCAGCAGAAATGAGGTTCCTTCGCAGATCTGTTGGCAGAACTAGAAGGGGTCGCATTAGGAATGAAAGCATTAAAGAGCAGCTAGGAGTTGCCGAACTTAAAACTACTCTAGAAAGACGGCAACTCCA